AGAGAGAGAGAGAGAGAGAGAGAGAGAGAGAGAGAGAGAGAGAGAGAGAGAGAGAGAGAGATCGAACTAGGCCTGTCATGGGCTTTTGAAACCTCAAAGCCCACCCCCAGTGACATACTTCCTCCAACAAGGCCACACCTCCTAATCCTTCTAATCCTATCCAGGAGTTCCACTCCTTGGTGACTAGATGTTCAAATATATGAGCCTATGGGGGCCGTTTTTATTCAAACCACCACACCTAGCCATGACTGTACCATGTCAGGAGCTATCAACATTGACTCAGAAGTAGAGAAATCCAAGTCTTCAAGGACTTACTGTCTTCTAGAGGGTCACAAATCCCAAGAGGCCCGTTAGATTAAAATTACCCACGTGCAACCATTTTGACCCACAAACGGTAGTTTCCTATGGTTCAGCCTAAATATCAGTATTGAATGTTGGAAATCAGGGATTGTATCCTTAGTGCTGCAGGCCAGTGGGGTTAGCAACACTTGGGTAAGCTGTCGCTTGGTAGACCAGCTTGCCCTCTCTTGCAGTATTTTTGGCCCTGAAAATGGTGCACATGTTGGCCAAGTCTTCTTCCAAACTTCCGTTGAAATTCTTACATTAACCTTCCTGGAAGTGGCCAAAACAGTTTCCCATGGAGAGAAGAAGTTACCGCCCACCTTCACAAGACCACCTCTGTGTCCTTAGTACCTGGCTTGACACTTGGGGATGGAAGAAACTTCAGGGAAACAGAAACAAACTACCCTTGCCCCTCACCTATGGCAGAGAGAAGGACACACACTCAACGGGGCTCTGGCTAGGCTGGAACTTACTACATAGCTCAGATTGGCCTAGAACTCACAGCTATCCTCCTGCCTCTGCCTCCCAAGTGCTAGGATTACAGGTGTGTGCCACCATCCCTGAATAATTATTTGTTTTGTGGTACTGGAGATTGAACCTAGGGCCTCGGGCAAGCATGCTACTGCTGACCTATACGTCCCCTGCCCACCTTTTACTTTGAGTCGGGGTCTCACGAACTTGACCAAATTCCTGTAGACCAGGCTGGCCTGGGACTGTCAACGCTGCTGCCCAAACCTAGAAAGTAGCTGGGATTCTGGGCCTGTGCCTCCAGACCTGCCTCAACTGAAAGTAATTGTGAGGAGAGGCAATTGCCAGACAGGATCTGAAGGGGTAGAAAGGACAGGGTAGGTGTGGGGCAGAGGGGAGGTGGGGGGGCAAAGCTGGAGGGAGGGCTGTGTGGGGCAGAGGGGAGGCAGGGGGGCTGCAAAGCTGGAGGGAGGGCTGTGTGGAGCAGAGGGGAGGCGGAGGGGGTGTGCAAAGCTGGAGGAAGGGCTGTGTGGGGCAGAGGGGAGGTGGGGGTGCAAAGCTGGAGGGAGGGCTGCGGTGACTGCATCCTACTGCAGACACCCCTACTGCAGACACTGAGGGCTGGGAGTCGGCTGCTTTGGCAGGTGAGGGAGGCGGTGTCTGCGCCCACCGGCTGGCAGGCCTCCAGCCTTGTCTGAGCCAGTACCAGTGTGGCAGGCAGGATGGCATCTGTCCTCCACAGCAGCTGCCGTCTACCTGCTCCCCTGGTGCCGGGGACCATTAGGATGATTTTGATGTTTCCTCCTCACTGTCTGTTCTACACAGCCTTCTTTGTGGGGAGCCCTCGTAGGACATCTGTTAGATGTGAGGACAGACCCAGCTGGCATCCCCACTTCCAGGGGCTGGCTGACCTTGTTCGGGGAGGTGGGTCACTGGCTTGGGGCTGGGGAGCAGCTTATGTTGTTCAGCCAGAGCCTGTGAAGTAGACAGAGTTAGGACAATAGTCCGTTTTTCCTTCTCTGGCCAAAACAGCAACCTGGAGACTGACCCAAGGGCACCTAGCTCATTTGAGGCAGAGCCAGAGTCGAAATCCAGTTCTTCCCCTTCCAAGTCTACCACGGAGTGTTCAGCCCCCACCATGCCATCACTGGGTGACCCCCTCATCACTGAACCCCCCCTGGTCCCAGGGTCCCTCCTCATATAACAGACAGAACCCTTCCTGTACATTAGAGGATGGTGTGCCGCGCCGCGAGGTCACGTGCTAGGAGCACTTTGGAAGGAAGATGCTAGACACCATGAAGCCGCTGCTGTGCCATTGGCAGTCGGGATCATTAGCACTAGAGGAAATGCAGAGCGGTGCTCTGGGGAGCACCACCCCCATCCACACAGCCGCTAATGGAGCCAGGCTCTCCTCCTCAGATCTGCATATAGTAGGGCCTTGAGCTGGAAGAGGCAGGAGATGATCTTGAGGGGAAGCAGGAGCCGTGGTAGGAGTGGGCAGAACCTTCCTTCTGCCCGGGTACCCCTGGGGCTGCCTTTTCCTTGGTGCAGGCTCCCTGAGAGGGCAGAGGAGGTGCAGAGAGGAAAGTATGGGATCTCTGCTTCGTCCAGGGCAGCCGACTAAGCCAGATTAGCCCGTGACCTCTGATTTGGCGGTCTAAGAGCCGACAAGCCAGGTCACTATAACATGACAGCGTATGCTGGTTTTGTGGATGGAACCGACCTGTCACTCATCGAACCAACAGGACGTGAGTGCAAACCATATGCCAGCCTCTATGTTGGGGGGTGGGAAAGTGGTGTCCAGGAGACAGGAAGGGCCCAGAGTGATTAACCTGAAGGCCAGAGCAGCTTTTTCTGAACCAGGTACCTGCAGAAAGCCCTAACTGCGGCAGCGTTCCGGGGAATCTGGGACTTCAGACAAGGAAGCTCGGAGCTGGGAGGGGTGCAAAGACACCATTGCTGCCAATCCTTGGGGTCACCAGTGAGCTGTGACTTTCGGGTAAAGGCCTTGCTCCTCTTCATTGATAGAAGCAGCCCTGGGGTAAGGTATGGTGCTTAAAAACTGGATGTTTGTCCAGTCTGCTGGATCCAGTCCTCTGGCCGCGTCGCAGCCTTGCCTGATTTCGTACGCCTGTGTGCATCCAGAGAGACACCACCCCCCCCCCACCCCCCCCCACCCCGCTCAGATGGAGGCAGAGATGCTGCGTCCCTGGGATAGCGGGACAGGATGCAAATGGTACCCAGGGATGGAACAGTAGACTTACAGGAGACACTCTGTTTCTTCTCTAGCCCTCCCATCACACTCCCCTCCCTCCACCCTCTTTTCGGAAGCAGTAGATCCAGCTTCCGATGGAGCGTAGGGTACACGCTTACAGAGCCTCTAGAAAACACATACACCATTCTTGGTGTGCCCTGTGGTGCTGTGACAGGCAGAGGAGGCAGGACGAAGAGTGCTGTGCAAATGTGAACGTGCTGGGCGTCCGTGGGGCTGTCTGTACGTGCTCCTCCCTCTCCATCTCACTCCCTCCTCCCCGCGGCCCAGCTCTCGGCACCCCAGCACCCTTCTTGGGCGACTGTCATCCTGTCCTCTCCCTTTGCCCAAACAAAACCTAAGGCAACATCTGTTGCATCCTAAAAAATCAGCAGCAGTGGGCCCAGTAATCCAAGCTGATTTATCAGTTGGTGTTCGGCATCTCCCTTGGAATATGACATTCGGTACTCCCGCATCTTACAGAGAGCTCAATATTGGGAGCCTCCCTTTTGCAGATTAGTGAAGGTATGTCCAACACAGAAGGCTGAGGATGAGCAACCTTAGTCGGGCGCATTTATGGGCTTCCTCTTTCCATCGCTGTGTGACTGACTAGTTGACAGGGGCGTGGAGAGACTCGGCGGCGTCTATTGAATGTCAACCGAGTGCCAGCTTCTTCCGAATCCTGTCACAGCAGCCACCTTCCGAGACAGGTATAGCATGCGTCTTCCAGCCTTTGGAAGCCCACTCAAAAGGGCAGGAGGGGAAAGAACAGAGGGGCCCCCCTATTCAGAGGTTAGGGGAAAGGTTGCAGGACTTGGGTGTGGGAGGGCAGCCCTGGTTGGGCCGGGCCTCCCCCCTAGGGCTTGGAAGTGCTCCCTTCACAGCAGGCTCCCTCCTCCCTCATTCATAAGCAGCAGGCTCAGTCTAGAGCTCTAAATAAATTAGCCCAGGCTCTCAGTCCAAATGCCAAAAGATGCTGGTTCCAGCTGAGCTCTGATGCCCCCCCCCCCCATTATCTGGGGCCTTCTGGAGATGTGAGGCACACTCAGACATGGCTCCTCCTCGGTCCTGTCTTACCCGGAGGCCATCTGGCTGGTTAGTGTTGGGGCTGATCTTTGGCCCAGGCCTGTCCGATATAAACCTGTGCCCTTTCTACTCAGGCCTGCCTGCTGAACAAAGTTATTTGACTCTGATCTCCTGAAGTGTTTTGTCCTCTTTCTCCACCCTCTCTGATACTGGAGATTGAACCCAAGGTCTTGCCCACACTGGGCAAGCGCTGTCTCAGTAAGGTACATCCTGAGCCCTGACTCTCTCTGGGAGTGTGTGTTCCATTAGGACAAAGATCTTAGTCATTTTTGTTCCGTCTGTCTTCCAAGCCTGTAATAACTACTCAACAAAAGACCGCTGCGGGCCTGCAGTGTAGCGCCGGGATGGGGCATTTGGCTAGCTGTGGAGAGCCTGAGTTTTACCGTCTACAACATGATGAAAATACAGGTGTGTGTGTGTTGGGGGGAGGGGAGGGGGACTTACAGCTCTCACTTGGGAAACCTGACCTCTGAAGTCTACAAAATCAGAGGGGAAAAGGTTATTTTTCTAAGCCTTGAAGAATGGCCCCTGAAATAAGTGGAACAGTCCTGTGGTGTGCTTCTGGTCCCTAACTTTTATGAGGGTTAGGGTTATGAGGAAATGTTAGGAACTATCTCTTAATGTGGAAAAGTCTAGCGGATGGTGTACTTGAGATGTTTCCTTTTTTTTTTTTTTTTAAAAAAAAATGCTTCTGACCTAGGATGTTAGCTATATGAGAAAAACAAGTGACGGGAGATTTTCCCTAGCACAGTTTACCAGGACTAGGAAACAGGATCCAGAGGTCCGGCATGGAGAGAGGAAGAGTGCTAATTTCCACAGGGTTTTCAGCCCGAAGGCCAGCGTCAACCAGATCTTTTATCCCCTCTGATGCCTTTCTTTCTTTCTTTTTTTTTTTTTTTTTTGGTTTTGTTTTTTGTTTGTTTGTTTGTTTGTTTGTTTTGTTTTTCAAGACAGGGTTTCTCTGTGTAGCTTTGCACCTTTCCTGGAACTCACTCTGTAGTTCACGCTGGCCTTGAACTCACAGAGATTCGCCTGGCTCTGCCTCCCGAGTGCTGGGATTAAAGGCATGTGCCCCCACCGCCCGGCCCTGATACCTCTCTTTTTAGCAGTTTCCTGTGTCCCACATCACCCAGGCGCTCTTGATCCCAGCAGATGATTACTACGAGAGAGCATGCATGGGTTTAGGGACTCAGGTGGAACTGTGGTTCACATTTGTCTGGCCAGGTCTGTGACCATGCGCCACTTAGCGAATGGTGTGTTCTAAGGGCCTGGCCCTTGGGTGCACAGCCAATTTTAGTTTTCCTTCTTCTATCCCTTTATTTCTCCCCTCTCCATCTATCCAGGCATCTGTCATTGCCCACTGTCTCCCAATAACTAAAATGTCCCCCACCTGTATCTCTCCAGCAAAGCACTTCAGGGAGTGGCCCCGGAGCTTTATCATTCCCACGTTATAGGTTCGCTTCTTGGCGCCAACGCTGGGATTTTGCTTGCTGCTTGGGCAAGGGGAACCCTGGCAAGCTAAGGCCGAGCTGAAGGCGGGGTAGCTCAGCCGCTTTGCCGTGTTTCTTCTTACCCTGCGTTTCTCTTGCCCTAAGAGACAACGCTGGGAAAACTCTTTGCTGGCAATGTTTTTTTTTTTTTTTTCCGAAACTGTGATGACCCAAGGGAATCATCACTATTTGGTCACCCAGGTCAACTACCAGCTGCTACCGGACTTGAGCAGACCACTGGGTGAGCAGGCAGGAGAATCTAGGCTTCAGTCTCCCTTGCTCTCTCTGGTATACACTCACAGACATTTCAGCTGGGAGGCAGTGGCCACTGGGTCAAGGGAATGCATGAACCACTTTGGCCTCCGTTGCCCTGAAAGGGGCTTGGCGTTGAGTGCATCTTGCTCTCCCGTCCTGGGGATTGCTCTAGTGCTCTGGGGTCTGAGTGGAGGAGAGTCTGCAGCCCTCTCTCAGTCCATGAGGATAGCATCAGGCACTGGGAGATGCTCACAGAGGAGGTGACTTACAGATGCGGATGTGAATATTAGCTGAGAGCTCACAGGCTGCTGCAATGTCGTTGCTGGCATACAGCATTTTCCCCGAGCCCACTAGCCAGCCTGTGAGCTACTTAAAAGGAGGAATGACGCTTTAGTCATCTCTGTGTAGCCAGTATTAAATATAGCACAGACATTGCCTCATAGTGTGGTGATCAGTGAAGGATTCATGGATGGATGGGTAGATGAATTAAATAAAATCTTTCTTTAAAATTGAGTCAAGACCATCATACATTTACCCATTTCCTTTCCAGAGCCAGCATCCCTCCTCAGTAGCTCGCATCCCATGCCTGAATAACTAATTGCAAAGGCCTCCAAGTGACAGACAGGGTGGTCTAGAGCAGGGTTGCTTAAGCTCTTTCCAGTTACGACCCCCTTTTCCCGAGAAATGTTCACATTTTATATAGGTATATAAAATAAATATAAATCAAACATTTACTGATAATACATGATAAATTTATCTTAAAAACAACCCTTTGGTTGGTATACTTAAAAGCAAATTTGCATGCTAATGAGACATGCTTGTTTATTTTTAGATAAAGAATTAAATCTTCGCTGCTGATCTGATACTAGAGGGCATAGAGCATCTTCAGTGGTTTTCAGAACTGACTAATATTTTGATTTTATAATTGTCAATTCTGAGAATGCTGCTCCTTATAAATACAAAGCACAAAATGGCACAAGTATATTTAGAGACATCTCAGAGATTGTTGTCAATTCTTCTAAAGCACAAACAAAATTCAACTGAATTTTTTTTAAAACGCTTATTCATTTACCAATTTTGTGTCTGCACTGGAGACATGGGCGGCTCTTGCCACAGTGCAAGTGTGGACACCAGAGGACAACTTGAGGCAGTCTGTCCTTCCACCATGTGGGTCCTGTGGATCAAACTCAGAACATCAGGCCTGGCAGCAAGCGCCCTTACAAGCTGAGCTATCTCGTTGGTCCACAACAGTCTTTTTGGTTTTGGGGTTTTTTTTGGTTTTGTTTTCTTTTTCATAAATGAAACTCAAGTTAGCAAGTCAAACAGCAGTTTTTAAAATCAAACATTTTGTAAGTTTGAGGCCGGCCTGGTCCAGTTTCAGAACAGCCAGAGCTACATAACAGAGAGACCCTGCCTCAAAAAAACAAAATAAAATAAAACATTCTTTTGTTGGTTTGTTTTCTTTTTGTTGTTCTGAGACAGAGTCTCTCTACATAGCCCTAGTAGTCCTGGAACTCACCATGTAGACTAAGCTAGCCTCAAACTTGGATCTGTTGCCTCTGGGGACCTGGGATTAAAAGTCTGTGCACCACCATGCCCTAGCTGAAATGAAACATTCTAACAATATAATCCATTATAATATATATACTAACAATTATAAACAATAATATACTAACTTGATACGGTGCTGAAATGCTAAAAATCCTTATCTTCTGTAATTAAACTGTTGTGTTTCTATACGCAGGGGAAACTTGGTATGTACACTAAAAGCAATGTAGTTCACAACATACAGTAGCCTGAACTCTGAGCCCAGGTGTTCCATGTAGTGTTCCCTGGCCGTTGCATGGCGTGACAGCATACGTGGTTCAAAGGGCTTACACCAAGGCTGCGGTGAAGTCCCACAATACAACACGGGCAAGCACGGCCAGAAGCCCCTTAGACATACACTTGGTTTGGGATTAATTCTGGGCCATTGCATGTTCAGAAACCTTTTGCTGTTGCCAGATTTTTCAGAAAGCTCACGTCCAGTTGCAAAGGCTCATGTGGACCAACAGGAATCTGAGCTCTAGAGAAGCTGATTTTAGAGCAGGCATTGGGAGACCGGGCTTTGAGTTGCTTTCTGGCCTCTGGAACTCATGAAAACTTGCCAGTCTTCAGTGTGTTCATGGCTAAAATCAAGAAGCTGATTTTAGAGCAGGCATTGGGAGACCGGGCTTTGAGTTGCTTTCTGGCCTCTGGAACTCATGAAAACTTGCCAGTCTTCAGTGTGTTCATGGCTAAAATCAAACTTGGGATGAATGTACTTCAGGGACATTTCGACTCTCAAATTCTCTGCTTCCTCCTACCCTAACAACCCTGCAGATTAATTATAGTTGATTACCAAAATTTAAAAGTAAGATTTCACGTAGAACCAAATTCCTTGCCCCCCTCCCAAACCAGAAACCCAGATGACACCAGCCTACCTTTTTTCCATGGCAACGGCCAGAAGGAGCAAAGTTCCTGCTGCCCTGTTCCGACGGGCCATGGGCGTGAAGCTTCCCCTGGCTGTGTCTCTCTCTCCTGTTACTGAGGGCTCAACCCTGCTTCACTCAGTTTTGTCTTCCGCCTGATCTCAGCAACCATTTGATTGTGCGGACCTAAGGTGGGGGAAATAACTCTGAGGGGCGAAGACAAGAGGGCCCAGAATAGGGTGATGGATGGCCTGCGAATCTGCTCTTGCTCACTTAGCTTCAGACGACAGAGACTGAGGGAGTCATCCTGAAAAGTTAGTAACTGAAAACCGACCATGGCCGAGGCCCCGAGAGAAGTTGCTTGGGTCTTGGTCCCCCGGCATTGTGAAATCCTTAGGGGAGTTTATTTGCTTGTTTTGAGACAGGGTCTTGTTCTATTGTCCCATGCTGACCTAGAACTCACAATGTTAGCCAGACTCGCCTTGAACTCCGGGCAGTCTTCCTGCCTCCGCCTCCCACGCGCTGGGGTTTTAGTGTGACGTACCATGGCTGGCTCAAGCCCTGTTTGAGGCAACTTCCGTTTTCCAGTGTCTCACCTTCCTCAGGACCCATGCTAGGAGTCTGTGAGTTCCCCAACCACAAGTCCCCTGCCCACTTGAGGTGGCCATCCTCTAAGGTTGACAGGGGAGTAAGAGCTCCTCAGGAAACCTGAAGTCGTGGTGATAAGCAAGCCCCTTTTTTCTGGTGTCCAACCTCAACCTCCTTGGCACAAAACAGGTGAGCCGGTTACAAGGTCAGATTGTTTAAAAAAAAAAAATCAGTGTAAAGAAATCCAGGATCCCAACTCTGTTCAGCCCCTCAGGGCACTCTCCCTGCTCAGGCTCTCACCCCACCCAGGCACCTGTTCCTGTCGGCAGCTGCTTTTCAGAGGCCTTTGGGCTGGCCCCTTCTCATCCCCTCAACCCCCAAAGTCCCTTGTCTAACGTGGGCCTAACTTCAGACCCAGTTTAAGCCCCTTAGTCATCCTGCTGGGGGTGGGGGGTGGGGGTGGGGGGTGGGGGGCAGGCGACATGGCCTCAAACACCCTGCCGGAGCAGAACGTTCCCTCTTCCTCGGCCCGCAGACTCTCTCTTCCTCCTCTCCGCTCTGTATGTGCTTCCGCTCTGGTTTTCTTTTTCAGGCTTGGTTTGGTTTGGGGATTCTGTTTGTTTTGAGACATGGCCTCTCTGGGTAACCCAGGCTGGATGGCCCTGAACACTCCATCCTCCTGCCTCAACCTCCAGTGTCCTGGAGCTACAGGTGCCCTGGAGGGTGGCTGGGTATGCCAGTTTGAAGCTTATTGCTTGATTGCTTGATCGGTTACTCTGTGGTCTGCTCGAGCTAGTTTTGTGGGGTTGGGTTTTGTTGATGGTGTGTTTTGTTTGTTTGGTTGGTTGGTTTTGGTCATTGCTTTGTTTTGTTTTTCCATCAAAAACCGTCTTGAGCTAGAGTGCAGCTCAGTGGCAGAGTGAATGCTTGGCCCTGGGTTCAACCTGCTGCACCAAAAGAAAAGAAAAGGCCACCTCTGTTTTCTCCCGTGAGCCTTGTGCTGGTCTCAGGCGTCGCTCCTTTGACACCCTCTCCCCTCCTGTTTTCCTCTTCTCCTGTGACCTTGGACACATCTACACCAGGCTTTGTGCTTGCCCCTGCTCCTGTCACTGCCTTTTGAAGAGGGTGACAGCTTTTGTTGGTTTCTAAGTATCTTTAATGTGGATGGTGTATTTTTGGGAAAGTGATTTTTTTTTTTTAAAGACAGGGTCTCGTATCTCAGGGTAGCATTAGGCTGAAATGTTATTTCTGAGGATGTTTACTTTTCCTCTAAGAATAACAGTAATACATAAATATCTCACGTGATATTTATATATCATGCTGGGGGGGGTTACTGTCACCCACCAAGACAGATGCTAAGTGTCGTGACCTCATTTCCTCTATAAGGAAGGTGTTGTGCCCATCCTGCCTTTCAAAGCAAGCAGATCAAATAATGCTTTGTCCAAGTTCCTGCGAGCACTAAGTGAAGGCTGTGGACTCCATAGTCTTAGTTCTGTTCTTCTACTCAGGATCATTCTAGAAAGTTTAGAAAATTAGGGGGGAGCCTAAAAAGAAGATTTATAATACACTCAAATTTATAGCTATAATGTGTTTAAATGTATGTACAGAGAGACAGACAGACAGACAGACAGACATCGACACTCTGATTCTGTTGCTCAGACTGGCTTCCAACTAAAGTGATTGTTTAGCTAAACAATAAAAGTTTAAAGCTAAAGTGATTCTTCTTCCTTGGCAGCCCCCTGAGGAACTAGAACTACAGACACACATTCTACACCCAGGTTAGTATATACATTTAGAAAACAAGTTTGGAACATGTTAAATACTGAATTATTGACTTAAACATTTCCCTACTTGATAGTACAGTGAGCGTTGGTCACATCATAAGGAACTGGTTACACGTTCCAACAGAAGCAAATAGAAGGCAAAGATCAATATGATTCTACAAAAGGAAATACAGAGGCTGAGGCCCACAGACCACGCTTTGAGAGCTGTGATCTGGAGCCAGCCCGGCAGGGTGTGGAGTCTGAACCGTGATGACAGGTCAGAGAGGCAGGAAGGCTTGGGACTCTCCGACTGCCTTTGGGGAAGTCTCTTCCTCAGCATATCTGGATCCCACATGAAGGTGTGAGATGAGCAGACCAGCCTGTGTTTGAAGTGGGAGTTAGAAATGCGAAGTGACTCCTGCCCAGGCTCAGCCCAAGGCCTGGCGTTCTGGCAGAAGAGCATCCTAAATAAAGCCCCCTATAAACCTGTGAGTAGGCTTACTCACTGATGACCAAGACTGGCCCCTCCTGCAGACTTGGGTTCTCCCCATGGCTCCTGGTTGGGGAGAACTGTGAGGTTTTCCTATCTTCATCCTGTTACATGTTCATGTGTAAAGACAAGCTAAGTATATTCTATCTGCAGCTATATTTTTAAAGAAAAGAAACTTTAAAATAGCATCCAAGAATAGAGCAGGGAGAGACAGAGAAAAAGGAATTAGGAAAATCAAAGGGGCGGTCTACCTCAAAGGGATAATGAACAAATGTGTGGCCAGAAACAAAGACAGAGGTCACTGTCTATGGTGGGGACAGAGAGGCCCCCTGACATTCTAAAACAGTTAGGATAGTTTGGCATCAGTCTGGACACCAGCCTGTTGGAGGTTGTACCAAATGGGTTTCTGTAAATTCAAGAGTGCTGGAGAGTCCCCGTGGCCTCTGAGGCCATCAAGGGACGCTGGCACAGGTTCAGTGCAGGGCCACCTGTTGGATCACGAAGTCTTGGGTTCATTCACAAGCTGTGTGACTCTGGGTAAACGTTGGGCCAGTGTGTCCACAATCTGTCCCCGGCCAGTGGAGGGGCTCCATTTTTTCATCTTCCTCCTTCCTGGACATCTTTGGAAGATAGATAAGAAAATGGAGGGAAGTACTTGGGGTTTCTATGAGTAATATAGAAGAATCTTAAATATTGCATTAATTCACCCAGTGCCTCTGGCAGCAACACACAAAGAGAATAGAATATGTCACCTGGCTCTAAATTCTGCTTTTTGTCTTTTTAAAGTATCAGGCACTGTACTTCTGAATACCTTACAGGTTTGTTGCAGAAAGCCTGTAAGACAAGAAATGTAAATGTGCCTTGTAAGCCATTAGAGGGTCTTCAGGTGTGCAGGTGATTGAAGGCTGGAATGAGGAGGTCGGTCCAGTGAGTGTCCGGGGGTCCCCTATTCCCCAGATGCTTAGGAAGTGTTTCTCCAGCTCCTGGAAGTTGAAAGCCTTCTTTATGCTGTAGGTGAGAGTCTCAGTGGAATGGCCTACTCAAAGTGCGGGAGAAACCTGGGAATCCTGGGGTTCAACAGAGAATCTGGGGACTGAATTCCACTCCTGACCTTGCCACTAGCTAGAGAGTAAGTCACTTAACCTCTGAACCCCATTTGTCATCGGCTTCCAACCACAAGGAGTTGTTATGATAATCTAGAGTATGAAATCTAAATTGGCGTCCTCTGGGAAGTTAAAAAACACTGTGATTTGCGTAAAGATTTTTTTTCTTTTTTAATCGGACTGCAAAAATTGAGATCACGGAAACTGGTGGTCCCACTGGTAACCGAGAAGGCTAGTTAGTAGTTTCCACTCTGGGATCTCGGGCTCCCCACATACTCAGGGGGTGCTGTCCAGTTTGCCTGGCTTTCTTCTTGCTGCTGAGAGGGGGGCTGGGGGGTCTCTCCTACCCAGTGCCGTCTTCCAAGCTCACACCCCAGAGTCACCCCGGTTTTTAGCCCCTATCCTCTCACATCAGGCATCTCACGATTTATCAGCGTTGATTAAGCGTGCACGCGGGGCGGAGTGTGGAGCTGCGTTCCCAAGGGGGTCTTGGGACTTGCACTGGGGCCCTCCAGAGAAAACCTTGCTAGAGCCCCTGCCGTCGTCGTCGTCAGGTTTTGTTTAAAAGTTTGTTCAGGTAAGATGAAGGTGGGGCGCGGTCTCCCCAGAGTGTGGTTGGGGGAAGGGCAGGGAGGGGGTGGGGTCGTAGAGAGGGAGGGGCCTGGGCCACTAGGTTGGATGCACTCCTGTGAGTCATAGGTCCCCTTCTTGAGCAATCGCTGCAGTCAGGGTGGAGCTAGTCTCGTTATTTTGGGTTTCTGGGCTGAGCCAGGCCTCAGGGGCTTTAGGCCTGTGTTTCCCCAGCTGCTCACCATCCTCAGCAGTGTTGGGAGCCAGCTGCTCCGGGCGCCTGCGGCGGAGGGCGGGGAGTGGCAGGTCCAGACGCTGCGCACCCAGGGCAAGGGCGGCAGCGAGGTCCGTTTAGGGCAAGTCTCCCCGCACTAGTCACTGCGCCCGGACTCCGGAGCCCACAGCTACCACTGCTGGCTGGGTGGGGTTGGGCTCCATTTAGAACCCAACAAGTCTGGCCTGGAAGGGCGTTGGGTTCTGCCCTAGGTTGTTTTATTGTGGATCCCAGAGGAGATGCTCACTCGGGCCTGTGGGGACAACGGCGCGCCTCCTTCCATTGTGAAATGTAATGACTCTCTACAGTCCCCACCCAAAGAGGGAGATCGGGCCTCTGCAATTCGCTGGCACCCTTGCTTCAATGCCTCTAACTCAGGGAACTTATGCTCTGCTTGA